CGCCGCGATCGTGACAGAGGACGGGAGCGTACTACAAGGGATCATGACAGAGACCGCGATAGAAAGAGGGAGCGGGATTATGAAGCAGGTGACTATGAGCATGAGGGTGGTGGTGGTCGGTCCCGTGAAAGAGAGCCGGAATATGAGAGAAGTGGGTCAAAGCACCATGACCGAGACAGACATGGCGAGCCAGAAGAGAGTCGTAGCAGCTACTACGAAGACGATCAAGGGGACACAGACCGATATAGCCATCATTACGATAAAATGGAGCAAGATGATGAGTACAGATATGAACGTGATTATAAGCGGTCTAAGAGATCAGAGTCGCATGAGTATGCTCACTGATGTTTCCCTTCGCCTGTTTAATGTTGTTTTTCTTTTAAATTTTCTTACAAGAACAAAATTCTGAAACTTGAGATCATTTGTTGTTTTTTTTTTTGTTATAAATCAAACTTGATGCAATTCTGTTTGTTTACGTTGAACTTTTGTTGGTCTAGTAGTGATTGCTATTTTATTACTTTCGAAATTGTCACATTATATGATCAGACATTAACCGAGGAAATGGTGGTATACACCAAACCAACTTCCAAAGTTGTGACTTGTGATAGTCTATTGATTAATTCTTTTGTTGTCTGTACTGTAGATATGATCATCTAATTATTTTGTATGGATGTATTAGATGTAATCACATGATAACGTATGGTAAGGTTTCTTTTTTGGTCGAAAACGTATGATAAGGTTAAAAAAATATTATATCAGATGATACAAACCAGAAGGGAAAAAGAAAGGCAAAAAGGTATCAGTAATCAAAAAAGCTCCGATGCCGGGAATCGAACCCGGGTCTCCTGGGTGAAAGCCAGATATCCTAACCGCTGGACGACATCGGATTCTGATTATTTCTTTACAAATAAAATATATATTCTCTAGACTAACCTAATACCGTTTGTGGTTCAGAATGAAGATTATTAAAATCCAAGGTCAAAACTATGTATGTACATATGAATGAGTACATAGTATATATATAATAATACAAACACAAACACGTCTCTTGTTACTTAGGTTGGGACACATGCTCAAGGGTCTCGTATTAAGAATTAAAAATTACAATTATAAAAGAACGAGCCGGATGATGTATTCGATCTTTCTATATTTTTTTGGTTAAAT